CCACCCTAGAAATTCCACTTGTAGTGTTTGAATTGACGCACGCAAAGTAGCATTTTTCAGACGCTTGCAGAAAAATATTTAATTTATTAAAACAAAACAGTAACAAGAAGTTTTAAATTCCACAAGACCAGTAACTGAATTATAACTCAAAGATTTAATAGTATATTGAATTGTTTGATACTTTTCTGACGACTCAAACCTGTTAATATGGCAGCAATGTTGTTCCTATTTGTATACTTATGCGGTACGTTTGCTCATTTTGATTTATTTGACGTCTTGTTCTTTATTAATCTTTAAAATCTTAATTTATATGTGTGAGAAGTTTTACTACAAAGTCTCAATTTATTCAATTCAAAGTCTTAAATTGTTGGAAAGATACAACCGTTAAATCTTTCAACTAGTTACTCACGATACGAATACTTCCATGATTAAGTTGAACGTCAAAAAAATTTAAATACTTAGTGTCTAGATTTTATGCACTGTTTTATTGCCAATTTTGCGGCTTTTTCCTAATTTTTACTTTGATAGTGAATTCTAAATAGTTGCTTAGTTTTTTTACCAACAGAAGAAATGATCCCATACAATATCATAAATAGTAGAGCTAATGCCCTAAACACAGACATTAAAACAAATTTGAGTATCAAAATGGGAAAAATTAATAATTTCGAATTTGACCTAAGACAGGGCTGCATTGAGCCAACATTGTGTCTCGTTAAAAATGGCCAATATATTCAAAGAACCGAATAAATTTGGTGATGAACACCGTCTGAACCTTGGCAACATACCAATAATACGCTTAGACGACAACCTTAATTGGTCAAAAGTTCACTAAAACCCAAAGAATTTGCAAAAAGTTCTTCTTTGCATGTGTAGAAAAAACGAAATGCTCGCTCTAGAATTCGACATATGTGGATAAATATTGGGGAGGGGGGTCGAATTATTTAGCTATTCAGACGTAAGCAGAGAAGTGTTCATCCAAGCATCTAAAGCAGCAGCCATTTCAGGTGGTGTAAGAAATACGGTATAAAACAATGAATTCGTAAAACGGGAAGCAAAGTAACAATATAGAAAGCCTACATTCGACCGACATACCATAGAAATAAGACAGGCCAATAAAAACAATAGCAAACTGATGCGTCGGACAAAAAAAAGATAACACTATGCTTCCTTCAGGCGGAAAAGACTAGGAAACTGAGCCGACAAAATTTATGATGTTTAAAAAAACGATACTTGACTCAATGTTTTGATGTCTGATTATTTTAGGTCAAAAAATGTATTTGGCGGACCCCAATTAAACTTGCCCTCTAACAATGCTTAAAATATTAACACATCATTCGCGCTTTAAAGTTATAATTCACAATGATTTCAGCTTGTGCCAGGCTGCCAACATATTAGAAAATATTTTCGTAAACATTAATATTCTTCGGAAAGACTTGGGAGCTGGTCAAACCCATGGGAAATTACCCGCTTCGTACTTTTTATGAGCAGAATCTAAAACTTACTTCCTTTCGGGTGTATTGTCGTCGTTAAATTTACATATGCTTTTAAGGAGAGAGGTTATTCGGAATACGTTACTTCAGTCCATAGTTTGACATCAGTTAGAATTATATTATGCTTGGTTTCAATGATGTTCAAGCTGGCATCATTGAAAATGTGTCCTGAAATTTTATTTCATATGAAGTTTAAGGGATCGCAATAATTTACCGCTTTAAAATTATGTAAATTATGTATCCGGATCAGGAATTAAATAAAAAACGAGATAACCTTTTAATTAAGAATCAGTATAAAAAGAAACGTAAGGTACAAAACAGTAAACTCGCTAATGTAATTTTACACTTGATGGAATTCGAACTCCCTGAATAAATTTACTCAATAAATTATGAAGTAATCTAAAAGCTGCCTTCGGTTTATTCTGAAGACATCAAAAAATGTAAAGACGATCTTAAATAGAGCCGAGGGATATTGAGTAAAACCAGACACAGAAAGCATCGAACACTATGGAGAAATAAATTAAAGCTTTTGAGGTAGCCCAGACCGTCTGATAAAAAAGTATTTGGGAAACCAAAGAAAAACTCCTCCAATCCACTCCACCGCTTTAGGAAAATTATTTGGTTATACAAAGACTGTTTGAATGCTTTGATGTAATTAAGTAAAATGTTATCAAATTCGTGTTTCTCGGATATTACAAATTTACTGTTCTGATAGAAAACTGAAAGGTGATATTAAACAATTCGAACGTTGATTGAGATTCGGCAGCGCTAACTAAAGAAAGCATCCAGTGGCTTTAAAGTTCCACAGGTTTACCAATTTTTACAAAAAAAGGTAAGTTAGAAATTACTTCGGATATACACAATTTGCACAGTATTGTTTTCAGAAACTTAATTTCCATGAACAAAAATCAACATCCAGCATTAAACAAAAGTCTACTCACTTTATTTACAATTTTTTTCCAAACAGTTGACTTTAATTTCAACTTTTCCATCAGCGCTACACATACCAAAATAAAATATACAAGTACCACCCCCTATATCACACTAGCAAATGTCTCCTCTTTTGTTGTAAATATTGTAGAAGTAATGTGGTTAGTACTATTGTGAAATGTGTAACGTGTCTGGCAGTCCTTCACCCTTCCTGCTCTCTGAGGGTAGCTGGATTGGCGGTGATTGGGAAGAATAATCTGGTGAAATACTGTGGTCAAGAGATTGAGGATATGGAAGATGAGGAAAAGGTAAATAAAAACATCCGATTTCTCTTAGAAGCAAAAGATGAAGTTCTTAAAAGTAAAGTAGAACCCAAACAGCATTAGAAATCCAATGGACATCCAAAACTTGTCCAAAAGAATGCCGAATGTCCATGGTACCTTTTTCGGATACCATATGGATGTAATAATTTCGGCATCCGTTGGACACCCGAAATTCCGGTGTTCGAGGACGCCCGAGCATCGACAGATGACCAGTGACAGCTGAAAAGCTAACCTTAATATGTGTTCAAGTGTACATGTGGTGTGCATACTTTTGTTTATTTATTTTAAACTTCTCTTCATCTTTGGTTTAAACGTGCCTTCGGAGATAAAGAACAAGCAAAGTCTATAGACTCTATTGCCAGCATCATCTATAGATACTCTATTGCTAGCATCAGTGTGATAATAAAGGTAAAGATCTTAATTAAGACGACTAATCTAATTAGTTTATATCGTTATATCCAGTAGGTTTTAATACACCATTTTGTATTTCTACTTTACCCTGTATGGGTTTTCTCAATGATTATAATATTTTTGGTATGGCTTTTGCTTTCAGCGCTACTT